CTTTTATCTTCATCTCTCCCTATTATATTATCCTCGCGGACAAATGAGTGGGTGACCCTCTCTCTTATTACAAATCGTGCATCTTCGTGGTTCACTTGTAATTGACCAAATGTTTTATTCGAGGTAATCTCATGAAGTCTCTTGTCAAGATCTTTTATCTTATGACCAATTTTCTGCCCAAAAACAAGCGGGTTTGAGCTAGAGAAGAAGCTGCGTACCTGCTTTGACACTTTATTATTTCCGGGCACCATTTGTCTCCACTGAGCTTCAGTATAAAACTCATCGAGCACGTCATCAGCTTCATAAACTGCATCTTCTACGCTTTGGAGCCACACTTTGACTTGATTATTGTTGGCTTGTTTTTGCTCAGCATCAAGAAGAACAGCTTGGAGTTGGGCAACTTTGTCCTTCAGCTTTTGGAGGTCATCTTTGACACCCCAAAGCAAGGCAATCTCTTGGAAAACAAGGGAGCCTAACCTTCCAATGATCCCTTCTGCAACGTTGAAGAGGACTCCTTCTGCCATTGGAGAAAGGAAAAGAGTATTCACTTGGAGAAAGGAAAAGAGTATTGTTGACGAAAGTTGTGGTTTGTTGATAGAGTTATTTGGTGTGGAACAGCGAGTGGAACAAGAGTATTAATAATTGGACAAAGGAAAGAGGAAACATGCATCAAATCACGTGGGAGCAAGTTTGATTGGTTTTGTCATTATTTTAATTGCAATTATACTTTTCATCAGACGTTTACCTTTCTTTGTTTATCGAAAAGAAATTGGAAAATATACACTGAATTATTTAGCTTTATTGTCGAGAGGGAAACAGCCCAAATCTCCCCCCGTTAACACAACTTACAACTTTCATTGTAGAATTGTAGTCAAAATGATTCCATAGATGAGATCGATGGCGTGGAGAAGGCAGCAATGGAATATTGCACTTGTTTTTTTAAGAAACAATTGAATAAGTTTTTTTTTGTCTGAAAGTGCATTCCAGCTTTGTTTTGTGCATCTAACAAAATAAATTGGAAATGTAGAACTGCTATTACAGAGATGATTTGAACAATCTAA